GCCTTCTGCAATTTCCCTCTTCCTCGGGCTTGCATTCTCTGTCAAGACCTGGAAGTCGTTTTATTCTTCACTTGAATCACAATTGCTTCGTCAATGTTGGCGGAGACCTTAAAAGACGGGGGAAAACTGCGCAAAAAGTTGGAGCTATTCGAATTATCTAGATTGTCTTGACGAAACGGAAATGTGTGATTTTCTTTCCAGGGCAAATTCATCAATATTCAAGCCGGTGTCACGAAATATATTCGCCCCCAGAATAAAATCTCCCCCCCCGGCGAATTTATACCGGTACCGTTCCGCCCCTCTCGAAATAAACTCTCCCCGAGCCTACGAAATAAAATCTCCCCCCAGAATATTTCCTCCCCCGGTCGTTTGATAAATACTTGCCATGCAGTTGCCAATAGTTTTAATGTGAATTTGTTTATGTGTTTTTTTATTCATTTTTTTTTATCTCCTTTATTTTTTCTGAGTTATACATTTAGTTACTTGTGTGGGGTGTGGGGTGTGGGGTGGGGGGTGGTTATTTGTTGATTTTTAGTATTATTTTATTGATTTTGAGGGTGTGGAAGGGGGGGGGGGGGGGGGGGGGACCCACCTTTCCTTTCGTTTTTCATAATAATATATTTTTAAGTTGTATATAACGTATGAATCCCTTCTCAGATTACTTTATCTCAGTTCTATATGACGTACTATTTTACTTCTCTGTGTCGTTCTTGTTTTCTCTTCAGTGTGAGGTTAAACTGTATCATTTTTTACTATTTTGATATTTTTCAATATGTTGTGGTCATCAGTTATGCAAATCAGTTTCGGTGTGTCTTTTTAACAAGATGTTCTTCATTAATAATCACCGCCAGCCCCATTGTAACAATTACATGTACACTTTGCTTTGACGATGCCGGTTGATGTTGTTCAATACAGGTGTTTTTTAATCTATTCTACATGCTAATCATTTCGGGAAGATGATACACATTTATCTATATTTTGGGTTACTTTGCTTATAAAGATTATACATGTAAACGTACGCAGTCTTAGTAGATTTTAAAGTAGATTTAATCAGTGCTGAATTAGATAGTTATGATGTTGTATGTTTAACAGAACCCTGGTTGCACCATGATATTCTAGCCCCTGGTATTACACTGATACCATTTTCAAATCGTAGCCTGTATTAAGGAATATATTTTAGATCTTTAATCAGAGTATAACGGCGTGGATATGTTGACAGTTTTTACGTAGTTAGTGTTAAAACCGAATGTTTGCGAGGATAAATAAGATCTCTGAAATCAGTTACATCAGTAGTTCCGGTGTCACGAAATATATTCGCCCCCAGAATAACCCCCTCAACCCCCCTCCACCCCACCCCCCCACCCCGGCGAATTTATACCGGTACAGTTCAGCCCCTCTCGAAATAAACTCTCCCCCACCCTACGAAATAAAATCTCGTAGGGATTTTTATAAATACTTGTGTTTGGCTTGTGTTGGGTCCGAAAGTTTATATCTAACATTTTGGAATTGAAGACAGTGATAAAGTCTTATATCAATATGTGGACTCATAAATATTGGTTTTATGTTTTAACGGAGATATGATATTTTCTTATGAAATATCGCGTAATAGAGTAATTTGCATGCTTTACCATTCATTGTACCATTCTAAACCATGTGAATGTTGTATGTCAGTCAATCGGGTGAGAAAACAGCCAAATCTTCGCTCTAGGACTATGTCAATCATTTTGCAAGTTGAAATGACCCCTGATACTTTATGAATACTTTATGACAGTTTATGGAGTAAAAATCAATGCTGATTAGCCAACCGCTATGTTGGGCTTACCATGCGGTTCAAGATAATCGAGCACTGTTCGACTTGTTTTTAGCCGAGCGGTCCTAACAGCGCCAATGGAAATATTACACCATAAATGAACTGTTTCGTTGGTACAGTTTATCATGTCTTCGGCATTACACATTGGCTTTTCATATTCCTCAAGGTTTTAATGTTTATTTGTTTATGTACTTTTTTATTTATTTTTTTCTCTCCTTTATTTTTTCTGGGTTAAATATTTATCTAAATATACATTTAGTTACTTGTATGTGTGGGGGTGTTTAACAGAAACCTGGTTACACCATGATATTCTAGCCACTGATCCCATTTTTAAATCGTATAGCCTGTATCAAGGAATATATTTTAGATCTTAAATCAGAGTGTAACGGACAGCCTGAGCAGGAGGCGCGCATGGATATGTTGACAGTTTTTAAGTAGTAAGTGTTAAAACCGAATGTTTGCGAGGATTAATAAGATTTCAGAATTCAGTTACAACAGTTACCGTACATGTATTTGTTACATTAAGTCATTTCATTCAAATTTGTTTGGTATGATATATATCTTATAATTATTTTAGGATGGAAGGTACAGTTACCAAATAAAATATGCTGAAATATCAATTCATTATAACCATATTTCATAATCTATTTTATAAAGCAACCCTCCTTACATTAAAGATAACTATTTAAAGAATATAGTACTTAAAGACATTGCAACAAACCGAATAATCAGGGGGGAGACTTTATACTGAGGGGGGCGCGAAATATATCCGCCCGGGGGAGATTTTATTTCAGGAAAGATTCTCCGGGGGAGAATCTGTACCGGTATAAACTCTCCGGGGGTAGAATTTGTACGGGGGAGAGTTTATACCGGGACACCGGTAAGAGGGTTTATTCAGGAACAGTTCTTGTGTGTTTAGCAGGACGGTAATTTTGGAACACCGTGGTATAACTAGAATATCGCTGACTGCTGCGTCAGTCAACAAACAAACAAATAATCAAAGACAACAGGGTCGGATTTCTCAAATTCGTTTATGTTCTCTCAACATCATGCTGGACCCGTGAAGATCCGGGGAAGAATAGGTCTTCAGCAACCCATGCTCTTTTCTTTAATATTACTCATATTACCGGAATTAAACGGCCAAAACCAGTCTTCAACCAAACACCTTCCATCATTTCATGGACTTGCTGACCACTACGTTACCGCCCGTCCGCTCCCAAGACGTATCAATCCAAGTCCAGGTCTTCACCAACCCATGCTTGCCATAAGGGGCGACTCTGCTTGTCGTTAGAGGCGACTAACGAGATCGGGTGGTCAGACTCGCTGCCTTGGTTGATGCGTGTCATCGTATCCCACTTGCGTGGGTCGATGCTCATGATGTCAGTCACTGGATTGTCCGGTCCAGATTTGATTATTTACAAGCCGCCGTCAACAAGCGGGAATATTGCTGAGCGCGACGTTAAACAAACAAACTGAACTCACTTTTAGTTAATCTGACTCACCACCAGGTGACTCGCACAAATTAGAATACGTTTGATGTGTTGAGAAATTAATAATGCAGGTGACATTTCTTCCTTAGCATTTTAAAAAAACAAACTATTTTTAAAATAAACAAATTACTTTGCCCAGTAACATCGTATTTAAGGAACAGAACCCTGTTGTATTACATAATTATCAATGCACAAACTCCCTTGGTGCACACAAACTAAACTCAACCAAATACCCGAGGCCAACAAAAATGAGGTGCGTGTAGCACGAAATCAATTCAACAGTAACTTCGACAGAATTCGGATAAATTACAAATAAAACTTACCTTGGATATATAAAATACAGACTCTGTACAGTCGTCTCGCATGCAGTCAATAATTTGTGATAATGAGAGCAGCCCGTCAATGTCCATGCTTTTGGTGTAATCCACAAGGAGTTATCTCCCTTAGAGCATGTGCGATCCTTGATGCACGGAGCACGTCCTCATAAATATTATTCATGTGTATTGTGCATATATTGCACTAGAAAATAATTAATGGGTAAAAGGAGGAAAGAAAGCAGAATAACCTCTTCTTCATGATATTGAATAAAACCTTAAGCTCTTGTTTGTTTGTTTGTTGTTTAATGTCGCATTCAGCATATTCCAGCTATATGATGGCGGTCTGTAAATAATCGAGTCTGGACCAGACAATCCATAGGTTGACAGCCTGATCACCCGATCCCGTTAGTCGCCTCTTACTTTAAGCAGGCACCTTCATTTCTTGAAATACTAATTCAAAACAAAGCAGGTGATCGACATAACGAGAGAATATTCAAATGATTTAATAGGTGACGTGAGGTGAAATGGAGTTTAACGTCACTGTTAAGATTGTTGCACTAATAGAGCGACGTATATGCACGTGTTTGTGTGTGTGTGTGTGCTTGTACTAGTCCGGACCAATGCCAGTGCCAGCCTACTGAGAGACCATGCCGCAGTTAAGGTTTGTTTGTTTGTTACATTCCAGCTGTATGACGACTGTCTGTAAATAATCAAGTCTGGACCAGACCATCCAGTGATTGATATCATGAGCATCGATCCACACATTTGCGATACGATGACATGCATAACCAAGTCAGCGAGCCTAACCACCCGGCCCCGTTATAATTTGTCGCCTCACTCTGTTAATAGAAGCATGATATCGTTGCAGGGTTAACAAGCAGAAATAATTCAACTCAAAAAGGGTTGCATTTTACTATATGCATATATACGTATTATATCATAATTTGCTGCGCCACATCTTGCTATTGTATAATAAAAAAACATTAAATAAATATGAATGCATACTAATGTATGATAAACCAACATCTACTGAAACCAATAGCCTATGGTTTCATTTACAAAGCGCCTTCGTCATAGCTGTGTACCCCAGGTGTGGCGCGTCATATTGTCAGTGGATTGAATCCCATATTCACCCCTATTATGATCATTTGCTTGCTAGCGCCATACTCTAAACCATATGCTCGTGGGGCTCACCAAAGTGACTTAGGCATCAGATCTGCCCGTGATATAACTGATGTACTGTTTACAACATCAAACACACAACTCATGATCACTCAATCACTTACTTTAACATGTCCATAAGTGAAAGAACCCTGTGCAGTGTATTTAACAAAACTGTATTTATTCTAACGTTTGTTCTTATAATAAAAGAAACGCAAATATTTTTTGCACACATGCTTGGTGGCTTTATTCAATAATTCAAGAGTGAATCATCAAATATTTACTTAGAGCAAACAGTGCATGTTAACTCCCATACATTCCTGTATGGTGGACAAGGCAGGGAGCCACAGATGCCTTCAACGAGATACAAGAGATGCCCATTCTTGTTTTCATGGCCACTGCGATCCTTCTCTGCATCTCCATCAACACAGAGATACTCACTAGCAGCATGACTGTAATGGCCACCCATCAGGTACCCCGTGTACTCGACACGCCATCCAGGGAAGCAGGACATCTTGGCAGGCACCATGATGACGCTTGTCTTGGTTCTACTTCTACACACGGCACAGGGAACGTCATGGTCATGGAGGTGTTTGAAACTGAAGGTATTATATGTACCGGTTTCATATTCCGTACCATAGATCAGGCTGCCAGCCTGAAGCCCGGGAGTGTGGTTTCCATACTCAGGGTTATCTGGTAGACACAGGATATTGGCAGGTCCAGCTTTGGTTTCGTAAGAATTACCACCAGCTACTCCTAGAAAAGAGAAACATAATTAGTTAGAGTATTCGCCTCGGTGCTGAGCGTGATATGGTATATGGTGTGATGCATGTACAAAACACTAGAATATATAATCTCCCAAAACACTGGATTTTATTTGCTCCAGTAAATTGTACGTGCATCCCGCTCTATACCATTTCACTATAACATAACATGCCCCCAAATCACAGCAGGGGATATTCGAAATTGACAGATGTTTAAGGAAATACAAAGTGGTATGTTGGTGGTGAGGTGAAATGGGGTTTAACGTCGCGTCTAAGATTATTGCACTAATATTGCGACGTGCGTGCATGTGTGTGTCTGCTTGTTCAAGTCCGGACTGATGCCGATTTATAGTGCTGAGATACCATGCAGCAGTTTAACATGAATACCCCATTCAGACACAGTATACTGACTCTAGGCCGACCAGTCCTTGTTTTAGTCCCTTAATGTCTTTTGGTATGACGCGGTCCCGGACCTTCCGCTCTCCGGGCGGACGCTCTACCACTAGACCACGGAGGCGGTCAAAGAGGTATCGAGCGATGGTAATGGATGGATAGGAAATAGGAAGGACGAGGTGTACCTGTACCATGACAATCAACAGAACATGTTGGCGGTGTATTGTGAGGGTGCAAACAAACACATTGCTCAATCATTCGTTTATACGGAATGGTATGATCCAAATATATCTCCCAAAGACAATTAGGAGAAGTCTTGTCAACTTCACTTGCAGCACATAGCCCAGTTTGGCTAACGTAGCGGGTGACCTTTGACGTCGGCGTACACGTCTCCCGGTCGTGTCACGGGAGTGCTCTTTGGGGGAAAAGACAGGGCTTAAGACTGGCCTGTGGATGTGTTGTGGCTGGAGCTTGTCGGTTACGATACGACCCGTGAAGAAACGGGTTAGAATTGATCTTCAGCAACCCATGCTTGTCGAAAGAGGCGACAAACGGCGGTGGTAGGTCAGGCTCGCTGACTTGGTTGGGACATGTCATCGTGTCCCTATTGCGTAGATCGATGCTCATGATGGCAAGCACTGGATTGTCTGGTCCAGACTCGGTTATTTACAGACCGCCGTCATATAGCTGGATGATTGCTGCGTGAAACCAACAATAACAACAAACAGTTGCGATACGTGCACAGTGGTTACGATCGTTGTCTTGAAAGACAAAACGTGGAACAGCACAGCGCAAACTTTAATAATAATAATAATAATAATAATAACAGTACATTTGTTTGGCTCCCTTTTCATGCTTTATTATCCCGTTCAATTGATGAGTGTGCACTCGAATTTCATTTTCTTCTCCATGGAGAGTATGCAACGTAAGCTGCCTGTGAGGCGCTAAAAGGTTAGCAGCTACATTCCTATCTCATCCTACCGGGTACCCATTTACTGCTTGGTGTATAGAGACATATTTCGAACAAAGTCACTTGTCTAAGGAGACACCACATGCGTTACAGTGTCCGCCAGTCCTAGAAACTCTCAGGAGCCAAGCTGCCGAACACGGTAACCCAGCCAAGGACTCTCCGCAACCAACGTTACTTACCTTCAGATTTGTGACCTGGGCGATGTGCACAGGACCACGTGTCACCACTAATGGCATCCGTATGTGGACTCGGTAGTACAGTGACCCTTCTATTGACAACATGCAGTAGAGGACTGGCAGTCATAGTTATCTCGGGGGCACGGGAGGCCAGAAACCTATGATTGTGGGTTCGAATCTCGGTTCGCCCCGATTATGTTTCTAGGTTTGTCAGAACCATACCCGTGCTCGTGGGTTTCACCGAAGTGGTAAACGTCTGAGACCTTCATCACTTCGGGCTTTCCTCCCACATTAAGCTGACACGCCGCGATATAACTGGAATACTGTTAAAAGCGGCGTTAAACCCAACTCACTCACTCACTCATAGTTATCTCACCCAATATTAGAGACCCATCCCTGAACCTGTCATGTTGCCTTACATTGACGTTCGCATGACGTTCGTTATAAAGAAGAGAATATATGGTTGTCAACGTCTTTCTTATGAGGAACACAACGTTTCGGAGTATATGCTTACTCCTTCATCAGGTGAATGAATGCCATGAGGCAGAGACCATATATATGTACAGGTAAGGACAACAAAATAATAAGATAACAAAAGGTGGAAAATAACAAAGGATAGAAACTAACAAGGGAAGCAAACAGATGATTGGCGCTTATAGGTGATTAGCAAGTTGTCGACGCATTCAAAATCTGATCTCAAATATTGCATTGAAGCAATAGTATTAATCATACGTGTTACTTTCACTGAAGAATCAAAATCAAGAATGACCCCCTACCCACGTGCACAGGGGAACTGCATGGTCCACGTGCAACGCATCTGGTGTGTTGGGGCAGTCATTTTTCAAAATAATCTTTCTACTGACGAACGATCATAAGATTCAGGGCAGTGGCGTAGCCTAGTAGTTAAAGCGTTAGCTCGTCACGCGAAGGACCGGGTTCGATTCATCACATTGGTTCAATGTGTGAACCCCATTTCCGTGATGTTGCAGGAATATTGCTAAAATCGGCGTAAAACCATACTCACTCTCATAACATATATACTTCATGATACACGAGGTTCTTGGACGAGTATATATCGTCCGTCCGAAATGACATGGTTTCCTTTATACTGAAAGTGGACGATAACCAGTTTCAATATTATTTGCAAGAAGGAAAAAAAAAGCCTGAAACATTGTACCGCACATATCGGAAAATACGGCCAGGTCACAACGGTCTTTTTGTGATGATGTTTATAGTATGTGGTGTCTAAGACAGCACTGACCAAATTTGCCATTTAGAGAACAGGGATTTCAGATGGCAGTAAGTATTGAAGATTAGATCTTATCATGTCAAGATATTTAACGATGGGGGTAATATTATGAACCGACTGTTTGTAGAATACCATATAAGTCTGAATGGCTTCCTTTCAGCGTTAGGCGTATCTGATCTGCTTGATATTTGCTCTTTTCGGACTATTGTAGCACCGAGTATAGGTAAGATTCAGGGTGATGCTCGATGTTTCGATCGTGCAACGTATACAACAATAATTCGAAATGGGCACACTTTCGAACCACTTGATCAATTTGGCATACTTTACTTCGCACCTTGGTTAGACCCATATTCTTTATGCATATATAAGGTCAATATCTAACCATATCCATATGCATCTGCGTTGGTCACTAAAGATGTACCTGTTCATGTGTCACTTTGAATGGTAGGCAGCTACAAGTTTCTGACAATGTCTTTTTGATTGAAATAAAACTTACAAAAAAACAACCAAGAAAGATGTATATGGAGGAACATGTTACCTTTATACACAAGCTCGTTGTTAAGTGAGCACTCAGTTCTACCCCATCGAGTGTAGATAGCACCACCTTTACCTTGAACTGGAACAAGAAAAATAGGCATAGTTTATATGTACACTCTTCAAAAAAGGAAACGCACAGGTAGTATGTAGTTCATTGAACCTGACTACAATATAAATCCGGTATATAAATTGGATATATGTTATTGGAAAGTGTTGTTTGCCTGATATTCGACAAACGGTGCGTCAAAACGCATCCATTGTCGATTTGCACACTTGTTAAAAAATGTCATGGAGGAAAATAGAAAAGCAAAATGCACGTGCCGGTTATGGCATTCGTAACGCGTGGTAGTGGCTATAAAAAGGCAAGCATAAGCCAATAATTTGTCATTCAATTGTCAACATTTTTCAAGTTCGAAAATGCCGAGACTCAGCGCTGCCGATCGGAACATCGCTATAAGACGTATCGAAAGAGGGGAATCGCAGTTTTCTGTTGCACCCCACCTCAACGTCCACCACAGCACCATTTGCCGCCTTTGGGACCGATACACACAGTTCAATTCCACTGCAGACCGTACGAGAAACGGCCGACCAAGAGTTGCACAGGATCGCTACATTCGACTGTTCCTCCTACGTCATCGCAATGACACAGCTACGGGGACTGCAGGACGCATCCCTGGTTTGAGGAGGATTGCCGACCAGACTGTCAGGAACCACCTTCTCGAGGCTGGAATCCGACCAGTTATCTTCCCTGTTTTGCAACAGATCCATCGACAGCGTTGGTACCATTATTTACAGCCTTGGAATTTGAGAAACTGGAGACGAAAGTGGTTTAGCGATGAATGACGATTTCGTCTTCACCGGCGAGATGGAAGACAACGTGTTTATCTTCGTCGAAATGAGCGCTTTGCCCCACATTGTGTACGTTAATTCGACAATTTCGGTGGCGGTAGTGTCATGGTGTGGGGGTCCATATCCTACACCACGAGATCTGACTTGGTTGTGGTTCAGGGAAATTTGACTGCAAATCGCTACATGAATCAAATTCCTCAACCTCACCATCTTCCAATCATTGACCGCCAGAGGGAGCTGTTTCAACGGGACAATGCTCCACCGCACACAGCTCGTGTCACGGTAGGCTACCCTCATAAGGTCAACATCAACAACTTGCTCTGGCCGTCGAGATCTCCAGATCTCAACCCAATCGAACACCTCTGGGATGAACTCGATCGACGTGTACGTCATCGTCAGAACACGCCGCAGACACTCCAACAATTGGCCAACGCGTTACAAGCAGAATGGAGCAGAATTCCGCAGGACAGAATTCGTACACTTATCAAGTCAGTGCCGAGGAGATGCGGAGCCGTGATTGCTGCCTGGGGCGGTCACAGGAGATACTGTGTTCAGCTCAACCTTGTGGCCGTATCTGACATGACAATGAACTGTTTTAAAAATTTCAATGCCTTTGTACAACGACAACATGTGATTATCGAGCTCCAAAATTTCACATTGTATATATGATATTTATTTAAATATATCCGACTTTATTAGGTACAATACATTTACTAACAATCTACCTGTGAGTTTCTTTTTTTTTGAAGAGTGTATATACATGTAGTTGATCATGTAACAGAAACCAGCAAATCGTGCAAATGAAGACACATTATCCCCATCTGTGACCTTAAACCCACTCGTACTACCATGTCCTCCTCACAGAGATGGAACAGACCATGTCCTACCGGGACTCCACGTTTTTAAGACCTAGGCTTATTTACAGATTTTGCAAATTGTAATTGAGTAAAATTTATCAAAATTAAAGCACATGACATACAAACGAAAACAAAGAGAAAAATATAACTATCCCAAGTTTTATGAAAAAAACACTTTCACATAAGAACTAGAAAATTATGTGTCAAGAACACGTTCAAAATTAAACTGACATGTAGAAACAGTAACAAGAAACCAATTTCGCCATTATGCGTGTTTGTCACATGCGTTTAAAATGTCTCACTGAGTATCCAGAATATCACAACCACGTTATGGGTCTAATTAGACTAACATTTAGTCAATGAAATCTTATATTACACAATACCCTCTAAAAATAAAATATAAAAACTTTCCCTATGCTGATTTCATATGGAATAGAGCCAGCTGGAACTTGCTAGACATGCTTTTTTATACGTTTCTAGATTGTTACTTTTTTCATAAACTAAATATATGGTGCAGGACTCGGGCCCAATGTGTCTTGTAAATATGGAAACCTCTTTCAGCGCCAATATTGGTGCAAATTAGCCATATAGTGAGTGAGTGAGTGAGTGAGTATGGTTTAACGCCGCTTTTAGCAATATTCCAGCAATATCACGGCGGGGCACACCAGAAATGGGCTGCACACATTGTGCCCATGTCGGGAATCGAACCCGGGTCTTCAGCGTGAAGAGCGAACGATTTAACCACTAGGCTACCCGACCGCCCCGTTATTTTGTAGCCATATAGAAGCGTGCTACAACACATGTTGAAGAATATCGGTAATGGGAGATAGATCAATTTTTCAATTCACTATTAGATCCTGTTATTTTTCCGTTTTTAATCCCATGGGCTAAGCAACAAGGGGGCGTAAAACGTACAGTCCCGTATAATGATATGTTTAATGTGTGATCAAGTTTTAAAAGTATTTAAAATACTGATCATTTTTACTTCCATGAGAATGTAATACAACTATTTCTTTCCTATTAGAATCATGTTTCAGGTCCCTGCGCGCATCAGTTTCAACACTCCTTGTCGGGTTATTCCGTTTTCCTGTATTCCATAAAACAAACTATAAACTGAACATGACGCTCGATGCCTATTGTGCCAGGACTTGTTTTGTTTGTTTATTCGCTGCTTAACGCCGCACTCAGCAATATTCCAGCTTTATGACGGCGATCTGTAAATAATCGAATCTTGACCAGACAATCCAGTGATTGACAACATGAGCATCGCTTTACTGAATATTTATGAATCACTGCAAAAATGGCAATGCAGATGAGCCGCGTCTTCGTGTCATTTTAGGCAACCTAAAAGACCAGAAACAATACTTTATGGGGACTTATTGAAGTTTTTTTCAGATAAACAATGGTAAACAATACACATCAGTAAACAGATATTACGCTGTCGGCATTTTTCTTTCCTTGATACCAATTTAAAAAAACCAAAAACGTTAAAATAAAAAAGACATTTCAATCCTGTAATATAATACAAATATTTGACAACATTTTAACACATATTTGACAACATTTGATCAAATATGTGGTTGTTCAGTTTCGTAGGTATATGCGGGATATGTCCATATAGAAATGTACATGAACCTTTATCCACAAACTAAGGGTCGGAGTAAATACATGTCGGAGACGCGAAAGACGTACCTGAAGCCTCCTCATCCTGTTCTGTCCTCAGCATCTTACGCAACTCATCCAGAAACGTTTGAGTTGCAATACAGGGTGTCCCGGTCGGTAGTATCTCAGTAGCGTCATTGTTTCCGCATCCAAGTTGCCCTATTAAACAATAAAAATGGCAAAAAAACAAATAACGGCGTGCATGGTTATTCCAAAAAAAGTGACATGATTGCGTCTACATATGTCTCAGGAAAAGAAACCAGTTGCTTCGTATAGTTACCATGACAAGCAAGGACAACGGCCATGATCATCCACAACATCATGTTAATCACGGACGTGAATGTCAGTGGTGACTCAGTGTTCACTAACAGACATTTTTATACTTTATCTTATCTAGGATACAACGCTTTCATAAAATATGATATTTACAATGAGGTTATAAAATATAATACTTAACGTAACAGATGCGGAGAAGTGGTGATGTGAAATGGGTTTTAACAGCTCCAAGATTATTTCCCTAATATACCAAGTCGGACAAATGAACCAGCTGGACCAAAGTAAATAACAAAAACACAGATCGTGCATATCACAAGTCTTCTTTTCGATTTTACCGCACGTATCAGTCGTTACCGCAAACCTCATTCTGTTTATCTGTCAATGTACACTCTGAGAGTTGGACACCAATGCCATGTATTTAAATTATGACATTTCTCCCCGATACCATTTGAAGGCTCTCTCGTCCCAGGCTAATAGTGAGGCAACAGGATGCAAATGCACAGTCAACTTAGAGAGAGTTTACAGGCCTCCGTCATATAAAAGACAGACAGACAGTTATTTTATTAAAGTCTCACCTGAACATTTGATAGATAACATTATACACATACACTCTTGAAAGTGAATTGAGCCATTCCCTGCGGAATTACTAGAGACTATTATGCATACAAGAAAACAAACATTAAGTATAAACTAAGGGTATTAGATAAAACCGTAAAGAATTGAATAAAATATATATTAAGTAGGAATATGAAAATAGGCAGCAAGGTTTTCGCAGTGAAAGAGGACAGTTCATGGTATGACAGTGTAAAACGATCCTCGACCCACTTGCACAAAGCTATCTTAGCGCTAAGACTATCGTAAGCCTATGTTGAAGTATGGAAGTTACGATCATCTTAGCGCTAAGATCGCGTTGTGCAAGTAGGCCCTTATCTTTATCTTCAAAGGACATAAAACCTTCTTCAAATTCGGTAGACACGTTAAAACGGTTAAAACGGTCAACATGATATAATGAACATTGCAGTAAAACGTGACATTCATCTTCAATACAATCCTTTAAATAGAAACAAATTCGAAACATCTAACAAGAGCCATTGACCTTCTTTATGGACGAAACATGTTACAATTTGAATAAAATTCCCAACCAAATTCATATTTAAAAGTAGAATAGGTTCTTAGTTTGATACCACCTCTTCCCGTTTTACTGCCTGCTTGCGACACTTCATGTTTCCATTTATGTACATGATCATTGAAACTAACATCAGTAATTTGTGAAACAACATAAGGAATACGATAATCAACATTTATGTTTTTGAAATGAGCTAAATTAAGATGAACCCTATAATTCCAGTTACGTTTTTTCTTTATTGCTAAATCGTAGCAGGAATATTGTTGAGTACGGCGTTAAACGAGGCGACAAAATAGATCGTGTGGTCAGCCTCGGTGACTTGGCTCAATGAGTGTCATCGTACCCCGACAGCGTAGATGTTGTGCATACCATAAATCACTGGTTTGTCTGATCACTCGATTATTTACTTCCCGCCGTCACACAGCTGGAATAAAGCTGTGGTGGTACACAAGAAACAAACTTAAAACCCGTCCTAAAGTTCCTCTGCAAATGACACGCCCTGACGTAAATACTGTTTGTGTCCTTGTTAAGCTTTAAAGCTGAATTTTCATGAAAGGAAAGTTTAACACATGACCCTTAAATATAAATGATCTAGTTGGGCTACACCAGGGGACCTAACAACCGACCTTCCTCTCTCCGGGCAGACGCTTTACCCAAAAGGCCACGGAGGAGATCACGCCATACCAAAACAACATAAAAGATGGAACTTCTTGTGACCATGCCTTGCGTTCAGCATTAAAGGGGCACTGATCTAAAGCAATTCCCCGGGACTGGTTAGGTTGTTGCCTTTGTTATTGTTTTTCCCCGTGAGTACCCGGATGATATAGAAGAAATCCAGACTAGTTCGCGACCTGTGCTGCGAAATTCGTAAGCGCATTTGTCACTTTCATTGACAGCGTAAGGGCGTATGGTCACATTGATCGACAAAATGAAATACAGTTTCGGAAATAATAAGGAAATGTAGGAATCTTTGTGGGTAGCATCGGAAAGTGTGACAAACTTGCTTGGTAATTTTCGATTACACTATTTTGACTTGCAACACAAAGTAAATATTTATCCTGAGCATTGCTTATTTTATCATGTTTATATTTTTACAGTCAAAATGTTCAAATTTTCACTTGGGGAATTTATTTACGCCTAAATATTCAGTTATTTTACAAATTGACTGAAAAATATGTCCATCTGTATTATTATGACAACGACATTTTTATGTTTAATATCATCACCAAGAGATCAATTTTAGTCAATTTGTTAAAGAAATGGACAATTCTTCAGTCAAATTGACTGAAATATTTACACATTTTATAAATTGCCTGAGAGAATCACATTTGACAAATTGACTGTAATATATATACACGCTTACAAAGGAAAAGACTTGGGAAAACAACGTCTATCGTGCATCGCAACCAAGGCGTGGAGGAACAAGAATGAATCTGTTCAATGCTACAGCAAATGAAGGAAAACAAAATGCAAATGTCATAATAACAACCTACCAAATTTATGTGTATAATTTGAGGCAGTTTCCTTGTTCGACGAATGTATCCGTGAATATCCACACGAAGGAACAATATCCCTTTCGTCTGCAGCTGTACAAAGAAACTTATTCGATGTCACGTGTCTCTGTAACGATCAAATTTTTTTAAATATATAAATTATAATCGTCGTTTCGGGATATTAAATCCCGTGTTCGTTTCTCAACTGATCACTTAGATAAAAACAATCCATTGAGTTAGATAACAATGAGCAATCAATCAACGTATTATCGGTTAACCCTTTGAACAAAGTATGTTGTTTTTACATCAGCACTTCACGCCATGATATGAGTGTATTCCCTTTGTTTTAGTAAACCTAGACATGTAAACACTCACTTTTGACATATCCACTGTGCAAGATAACAGTGATTAACCAATAAATTTTCTGTTAATCATTTGATAACTAGGAACGATCCGTTGATTTACAAAAAAAAGTAAATCAACTGATCATTCATCTCTTGCCCGGCTGTCACGTGCATATTACATAACACACATTTCACCTCACTTCAAACCTGGATTTAGATTGAATAATTACCCCAGACACAATAAATGCCAAATGGGAACCTTTGTCAGGCAATCTGAGTGGTGCTACCACTAATTGTACCTGTTATAAATTCATTAACTGAGCATCAAGTGAATGACGACAAATACACAAGTGGAGGGTTATACGAGAAAACGTGGATGACAACAACGGAGCAGTTATCGTATTATCGACGCAATCCGAAATCTGAAAATGCTTTCACTGCATGGATACTTTTTTTTTATTATTATTAAAATATAACCATCAGGGGTATTTCCAAATGACGACATCCGATAAGCTCCGTCGTTCTTTTTGCCTGTTTAGGCTGAAGAAATTAATTAACATGCGCCCTTTGTCGAAATCTTCATAGATCACAGTTAACCAATCAGTGTTCAAAAATGCGTAAAACAAATATTGCCTCCAAGTTTATTCAGCTGTCCAGTCTCTTGTCACGCTCAGTTGCGTTGCGTATCATCCGGGTACTCACAGAGAAAAAACAATAATAAAGGCAACAACCAGTCCCGGGGAATGGCTTTGGATCAGCGCCCCTTTAAGGGAATAAAGCAAGGACTGATCGGCTGGGGGTCAGCATAAAGTGTCTGATTTGGAAATATGCATGTTAAACTGTGGCATGGCTTCTCATAATATCAATCCAACATATAGCTTAAGTTTTGCTGAGTCGACCGCCTCCGTGACCTTATGGTAGAGCGCCCGCCCGGAGAGCGGAGGTGTCCTCCCATTAGTTAGACGTCCCAATAGTTAGACAGCTTATAACAACACTCTAAACGGTTGAGTTTATATCCTTATGCTTGTTACCTCAGACTTTAGAATGGAATAGTCCAGATAAGATCTGACAAACAAAGCAAAGCAGCTTTAAATAGAAACTTTTATATTATACTTAACATTTAATGACACTTTACATTTGATAAATTTTGTACAGTTTGTAACAACACTGTGACAATCCGCAAGGGAAGCGATCGATGATGTCGCGAGTTACTGGCTGGTCATGAATCACCCGATCATAAACAAAACAACATGTGATCATGGCCTGATATAGTTGGACAATTCAAACTGGTATCTCAAGGCACGTGATAGTCAAGCCAAGCTCGGACACTTTAACAATACCTGTGGGTAGTGGGGGTTATGCAGTTGCCCTTTCTGTGACGAGCCTGGCCTGTCCAGTTAGTTATATGTTCAGGAATGGACGGAAGTGCAGTAAAGTGTATGTGAGTGTAGCGGCCATAAACTTTACAAGTCCTGTGATGGGATTCGAACCACGGACCTTCTGATCCGAGGTCGGACGCCTTGTCCACATGACCAAAGAGGTTAACCCCGTCAGCAAGCTGACAAGGTGTATTGTTGTGTTGTGTTCATTCTTGTGTTGGTATGAGGCACATGAATGCCTATGTAGGTCTATGTAGGTAATTAGGAGCCAAGGTCTTCGGACCCATCGCTTCGAACGTAGACAACCTGTAATAGACAGGCGAGTTGCAGAGTGTCGTCTCAGATTCACAAGGGCCACACGGGACGTCACCAAGTACATAATAGCTGAAGAGTCCCTTGGACGTAGATAGTTGCGCCATAGTTCCTTGAACGTAGTTAGCTGCTTTCGAGTTCCTTTAAATATAGATGGCTGCTTTCGAGTCAATTGAACGTAGATACACATAGTGACAAATGTACATGCAGGATGTCAGGATACAATGTTGATATATATAGCGACACATATACACCCAGGATGTCAGTATAAAACGTAGCTATATACAGTGGTACATGTACACCCAGGATGTCAGTATACAACTTGACTATATGTAGTGGTGCATTGTATATGTACACCCAGGATGCCAGCATACAACGTAGCTATATACAGTGGTACACGTACACCCAGGATGCCAGTATAAAACGTA